CTTATGAACGAAAAAAATACTATTTTAACGAAATCAAGAGATTTGTGTGAGACGCGGAATTTTGATCTCACAGTATATCAACTAACATGCTTATTAGATAAAAATTATCACAGGCGAAAGGAGTGGTATTTGTACAACTTACAGCTTTTAGCATTGCATTCCATGCTTGTAATTCATGATCGCTAAACTTATAATCTAAGGGTCATATTTTTTTCTAAGGAGGAACAAAGTTATATTATATACTAGAATCTTGTTTTAGTAAGTTATGTTCATAACTAAATCTTATTTTAGAAATCATTAATTTAATCATTTGACATTTTTCTTAATGGTGGCATTAATCATTCAATTTTTAACAATTTGCAACATGATTAATTTGATTTTTTCTTAATGTGATGTCAGTCATTTGATTTTTAAAAGGTTTTGTTGCAATTAATACTGTAAAATAGTATCACTGGAAATCAATAAATAAATCTGGAAAGTTGCATGCAAATAAAAATGAGAATATCTAAAATGATGGAGAAATAAATATTCTAACATTCTAAATATAACAGACTTTTAATTCTTAGATTTAATTAAACAAAGGAATTTAAATGATTGGATCACTTTAGAAATAACTTGAAATATTTCTACACAGAAGATTCAAGTAATACATTTAATTAGGATTTCAAAGAAATCAGAGAATTCCATTCTTGATAAATGTCACAACAAATTATAACTTGTAATTTCAATAAAATAAAACCATTTAGTTTTAGAAATAATATTCACATCTAAGGCTCCAAACAGAATAGAACAATCAGATTTGGAATAAATCTGATCTGATCTGGAATCTGAGATCTGATCTGAGATATTATGTATATACAATAATAATAAAATTTATAAAAAATCATTTATGAAAGAAATTATGAATTAAGAATTTTTATCTGATCTGATTCAAGATCTGATCTGGTCTAGCTTTGATCTGGTCTGATCTGATCTGATCTGATTCAAATTTAATAGGATCTGATCTGATTTAAAACAGATTGTAATTTAATAAGATCTGATCTGTTCGGAGCCTTAATTACATCATTGGGCTGGTGAGTGGTCAAATGAGGCATGGACAATGGAAACTCCCCAAATGTATATTTTCTTAGTAAATAATATATTTCTTTAACAAATTAGTTACTTTAGCTTTCTTAGACATAAATATATTTATCCATAATAATAAGGCTAATTTTATAGTGGTGGTAATAGTTAATCTGATTGAATTGGAAAGATATATGATCATGCATTTTTCTTTTAATTCTCTGTATTGTCTTTCAATAATTTATCATCAGATATTTGAATCTTAGAATTGCGAATTCACATAATTTCATTTTCATGTACAACAGAAACAAAGCATATTAGTAAAGAGTAACAATAATAGTTTAATGGTTAAAAGGGCTCACTATATTAATAAATGAATATATTTGGTATTGTATTTAATACAAATCAGTAAATAATAATTATATTGTTTTTTGTTTTGTTATATGAGTCAAATCTGAAGTACAAGAATATATAACAATTCAATAAGCAGAAGGTCACCCTAATAGTTCAGTATTTTATTAATTAATCAAAATAAATACAAGTAGCTGATATCATGACATATCAACAAAATGAAATCGTAACTTTGTAGAGAAAGGTCTTGGCTTCAAAAACACAATTTATTTTTTTGGCATTACATTTCCATTTTGGAGGATTTGAAGTATCTACATGACCAAATAAAAAGTTGTGAGACTAAGTGACTTGCACTATAATAACAATAACTGAATATTCTTCATTCAGATATAATAAATGATTAACATCACTAGACTAGATGACCTGCAGAGTTTGCATCACATTAAAGTTAGTCAATAATTTTACTATTTATCTTTTTTAAAAAAATTTTAAATACCCCAGTTAGAATTCTAGGAGTGTGGTTCAATACTTCTGGCTCACGAAAACACCACATTTCCTCTTTCAAAAATACAATCAACACCTTCAAATCATTACTTTACCCCAAAAAATTAACAGGAGAACAAATCAAATATATAATAAATCATGTCCTTGCACCTAAACTAGAATACAGGTATCAAACCACTTTCTTCTCTAAAAAAGAATGTAAACAATTACTTTCCCCTATCACAAAACTATTTAAAAACAAACTAGGTCTATCTCGAGCATTTCCAAACTCTGCTATTTATCATCCACAATTTTACAATCTGTTTGACTATTGGCAACTACAATGTCAATCAATGATTACAAACTTCATTGTTCGTATTAATGATCCATCACTTATAGGTAAAATAACATATATGCAACTAAAACAACTTCAATCTACATTATGGATCCCTTTCTGTCCATTATTGATGACACAAGCACTTCCTACAAAATTAAACAACAAAAATATTACAGCTGCCTGTGTCACATTAATGGTTTCTTCTCATATATCATGCCAACCTTCATCTTCTTTCATCTTCTCTTTTAACATCAAAGGTGGCAATGTCCCATTGATAAACATTATACAAAATCAATATTTCAAGATAATACCATTACTCAAAAAACACTCAATATTTTTCTTAGAACAATTACTTTCATGTGATTGTTCAACCTTTCTCCCAATAAACATGTTATTTCATAGACTACCTCTTAGTAAATTTCGTAGGCCTCCTAAATGGTACAATATACTTAAATCTCAATTCTGTCAACCACAAACAAACTTTTTAAACAATATATCAAATTTACCTCACACCAATCCATTCATTTTCCCTTCCTTATACACACCTCCAACTGACATGAGACACAAACCTATAATAGCATCCATAATAAACTCTGATCTCATAATAGCCAAGCGTATATCATCTACATTGTACAGACATTATATATTGAATAATACAAATACAGATATTAATACAATTTCACCATGCACAGGATGTCAAAGGTCCATCTACTCAACAAATGCACCATGCACCATTACAAATATCTCAAACCAAATTTACCTTGCTTGCAAAAAATTACCATCATCAACATACCAACTTAGAATAAATATATCAGATATGAGATATCTAATACAGCATATCAATAATACACCACCTGTCACAATTGATAATAATATATCCTTAAATATATCACACTTAATAAATCACCAACTTATACAATCCACATTCACCTCCTCACCAATACAAAATATCCTATTATCATATGCCAACAACAATCATTCCTCTCAATCATTGACATTCTACACTGATGGATCTTTATCAAAATTTGGTCAACAAGATATTAAATTATCTTGTGCCTGGATTCAATTAAAAAACGAAAATGTCAAACACTCTTTTTCTTGTTCATTGACATCCTTTCCCTCTTCAACAAGAGCAGAATTAATGGCAATTAT